TACCCAGAGGTGAGAGACCAGTTTCAGAATTTCTTCATGATCAAAGAGAAGGTTTTGTACATGGTTTGGTTCAAGATACATTTGGGTCTTGCACGCTGCTCCTTTCTGGCCTTATTTTTCCTTAAATCACATTGGTTTGCTTACATAAATCAACATCTTCATGGTCACACTTTCTCTGCTTTTATCCTAAAACCTGCTTAATATGATTCAGATTGAAATATTTGGGTCTGGGGTTGAATTCAGTATTTTTGACTGATCATTTCATGCAGCTGTTTCAGAATTGCTAGGAAGCTAGAATTTGAGTGAGGCCATGTTCATCAGCAGTGTCCCACAGCTCTCAGTGTGCAGGATTTTCATGAGAACAAGATTTTACAGGTGACTGAAGAAAACAACCAACCAACCAACCCAACAAAAACCCATCCCCTCCCCCCCCCCAAAAAAAACCCCAACAAACAACCCAAACACCTCCTCTCCCAAAAACAACCCAACCACACAAAAAAACCCCAAAGCCTTTTCCCTCTACTGTCTCAAAATTGGGTGTGGAAGCTGGTTTATGTGTTTTGCTGACATCTGTATTTAGGCACTGACCCTTGTCAATACTTCCTGGGTGTAGTGTTAAAATTTCTGATACTTACTCAGTACCCGTGTACCATTTCTAATTACAGGTGCTTGGAAGGCTTCTTTCTTACTTTCTTACAGAATCATTTTAAGATTGCTGGTTTGATCCCATTTCTCCCAGTTCAGTTAAATGCAAAAAGAGCAGATTGATGAACAGTCGTTATTTTAAAGGTTGTATTTTGCTATTAATTCATCCACAACAGTCACCTTGGGGCATAGCTGTGGCAAATCTACCATCAGCAGACAAGTGAGAGGAGCCTGTTCCGCAGCACTGTGTGCGATACGTATGCTGTCAGCTCGGGAACTGGCTGGCGAGCCAGCCGGTCAGCGCTGCCGATGCTGGGGTGCTGGCTGCAGTATTTCAACAAGATTGCAGATGTCTGTGGCAGGGAGGAGTTACTGTAAACACGAGCTGAAGCAGGACGCCTCACAATCCAAAGTTCAAGGTGAGATCCATACTAGATGGTAGCTGATGTAAAAAACTGATATATTTTCTTTTTCCAACGCAGAAAACAATACTGGGTAAAAATATGTAACTTGGAGCTTCTTATTGCACAGTGTCACAGTCTGATACTTAACGCTTACGCTCAGCATTTCTCCCTGTACTAAATGCAAGTCTAGGAAGGGGAAGAAGGCTATATAATTTCCTATTAAAAATTGACAATAACAATGCATTTTAATGCTTGTGACAATTGATATTTTGAGGAAAGGAAATTTAAAATGGAAATGGGCATTACTGATCACCCCTCTTTAGCAGCAGGGAAGCTTAGGCATTGCTTGGTGAGGTTTTGGGTGCATTTAATGATGCCTGCAGGCTCTCTTTATCCTGCTTGCTGGGTGGCACAGCACATCCCTGGTGCCTGGATCTCAGTAAGGGCAGGTGAGGAGGAGCTGAGCTTTCTTGTCTCAACTTGTCGAGACTGTGGGGGCAAGGGAAGAGGCAGTTCCTGCTTACCTGGGAGAGCTGATAGTGATACAGTGGGAGAGGGGCAGTGTTGTCTTTTCCCCGCTGAGTACAAGGGCAAATATCTTGAACCAGGTTTATAGGGCAGTTTTCTAAGCAGCAGGGGGCAGGAGAGGAAATCAAACAGCTTTTCCTAATACTTTGAATTTTGTTGCTGTCTCCTGTCTTTCTCTTGGCACCTCTGACTGCTAGTGAAGGTGGCTTTTGTGAAACCATTGCCATGCTCCAGCTGTGGTGCCTGTAGAAAATAGAAGAGTGATTCCAGAAAAGCAGAACTTATACTGAGCCATATGATATTGTTTGCTCTGTTGGTCCACCTAGCTGACTATTACTACATGCTTTCTGGAGGAAAGTCTGTGTTTGGGCTCTGTGCTCTCTGAGACAGCGATGTCTTTCTTGATGGATAGGTTTCCTACCGACTGCAGTAGTTAACTGCAGTGGTCTTTGTACATCAGTTTAGCAGGGACGGATCCCTGTACTTTTGGAGAAGTGGTAGTTACAGAAAAGATGTAATTTTTCTTTAAGGAGAAAAAGAAAGTTCTAGATGTATAAACTCCTCCAGCCAAGCACTGCTTGCCTTGATCTGAATAGTCTAATTGGTTTTAATGGATCCATGCTAACTTGTGTCTTCTGAGGTTTTGCCCATCAATTTTTACAAGCTTTGCAGCATGAGATGGAACAAGTATATTTTACAGGTATAGGGAATACATGCATGCACACTCAGTTCCTTCCTTTCTTTCTTTCTTTTTTTTTTTTTTTTTTAATACCTGTGAATGTGTTGCATTTAAGTGAGGAATTAATTTAGTATGAGATGTCATCTCAGATGTCCAGCACACTCATACAGAAGAAGGAATTACACTCTATCTTAATGCTCAGACTGCCAACGGTAGAGTAAATGTAGGCAGTGATCCCCTGGAGCCCTCTGCAAGGGGCAGAGGCAGTGAGCTCAGTGTCTTGGCAGAATTCCCCTCTGGGTGCGGCTGCTGTGCTTCCTGAAGTCCCTAAGACCTGGCTAGAAATAGCTGTACACAATGCTTTAAATGTTTGTCCTGATTTCTTGAGTAGTTTTTCCTGTGCACTTCTGAATAACACCGAAGTATGGCTGCATTTGTGCCTGGATACATATGGTTAAGTCTTGTGTTCGTGAAGTCCTTAGTAAGGCTGCTTTTAATTACGGCTGGAGCAGATTTGGACCAATCTGAGAGTATTTATTTAAAAAAAAAAAAAAAAAAAAAAAGCCAAACAAATACATAGTTTTACTTGTAAGGACCTATGCCAATGGAAGACTATTGCTTACAAATCCTGCAGAAATCTATTTATATAATCTAGTAAAATTATTGCTTCAAAATAAAACAATAAGGATAGGGTAAGAGAGGACATTGTAAGAGATGTAGAAATTGGAAAGAAATGGAAAAATTTACTTCAGGTCAAGTTTTATATCTTTCTATTGCCTCTTTACTGCAATTTTGTAAATAATGCCAGAAATTTAGTTTATTGGGGCAGAACTGCTTCAGGGAAATTTTTATTTCATGAGTGTCAGTATAATGAAACCTGGCTTCTGCAGATGGGTGGACCTGCCTCTGCCACTGCAGTGGCTCTTGCCTGGGAGCCTGAGCCTCAGCACCAGCATCTCCCCAACACAGCCAGGCTGTCCAGTCCCAGAGCTCACAAACACTGTGGGAATGAGTGGGACTGATCCTGTGTTACAGGTACTGAGCACAGCACAGACAGGCTGCGTTGGTGTCGTGTGTTCCTCCACATCAGCAAGTTTGCTCCTTGGACTTCTCAAAAATGCTGTTTAAAAGTTTGAAACATCTCCTTTCAGCATATATTTTTTCAGTGTATTTTGTCTATTTTGAGCACCTTTCTTAATGTACTACACTTACTTTATGCATTGATATGGTTTTCTGGGAGGTAAAGTAAGTCTTTATTCATTTTTATAGGTAAATGAGTGCTATCTCATCTGAATTTTCATCTGTCATTTTCAAAGTTAGGTTTATTTATCCAGAGCTTTTTTATTCTTTGTTTAGGCTTCGTGTCTGCTCTCCAGTTTAGATCCGCTGCTCCAAAGAAGCACTTCTTCAACAGGGAGAGAGAAGAAAAACTTACATTCATTCTTAATCTTTATTTCCTGTGATGTCAAACTTCATCCCAGTCCAGAAGGTTTTGTTTAGTGCCCATTTTTCAGCAACCAAAGTTTTTGTCTGTGGGCTGCCTTCCCCGTTCACCTGGTGTTTCCAGGGGTGAGCACAGCAGGGACCAGCTGCTGGGTTGGGCTGTGCTGCCACAGCACCCAGGGACTTAAGCAGGCAATGATAAACTGGGAAGTTTCACATAACCAGATTTTCACATGGTCCATAGGTAGACCTGAGGCCCTTGCATTTACTAATATAGTCAGTAAAAATCAGCTTCCATATAATTTTGGCATTTGATTTTTTTATTTTGTGAGAGGTTTTCTGTATTCTTCCTCAAGAGAATCCTCGTCAGCATTTTCTGAACTGTAAACTCTGGAATTAAACCTGGTTGGACATGCTCCTACAGACTGTTTCAAACCAGTAGGACTCGCAGTAGCAGAGACAACAGAACACGGTCCCCAACACCTCACTCTGCTCTGCTGGGGTCTGTGCACAGGCTCTGCCATTTTTGCAGCCATGCATCATGTCTGTTTGCAGATCACATGTGCATGATGATCTCCATGGTGACTTGGGCACTCGAGGCAGAAATATGATCTGGTAAGTCAAGGTTGCCTTCCTTCCTCCTCCTCATTTCCCCCCAGTGCAATGTGGGGGATAATGTGTTACTTTTAGGTATGTACGGTGCTTGTTTGGAGCAAAGCACACCCAGTCTGCTTTAATTCTCCAAATCCAGTTTAAACACCTCACACAGATCCGCAGAGCCCTGCATAGGGGGTGTGTGTGCAGGGGTAGGGGTGTACAGGATCATTTTCTGGATCTGGGAGCAGGCATGATATCTCTTGTAGGGAAGGCTGATGCTACATGGATGTAATACAGTGAGAAATCCAAGGTAGATTTTCCTGCTCTGTGTATGGGAAACGTTGACTGGGGGCCAGCAGTAGGGAAATGCAGGTAGTTAGCTCCTCTGTCTTTACTGGATACCCTGAAAAAATGGAAACATAAATATTGAATTATAAAGATAGAATTTGTGTAGTCTCAGAATATATACATACATTATAAAGCAGAATTTTTGGTCTAATGTGTTCAGTTATCCAGTGAGTACACTGAAGTTTTCCCTCTTTGTATTCACAAGATACTTTTTCCTCTTTCTATTGGTGCAAATGACTTGAAATGAATCATGTTTTTCTTGTTTGTTAGCATCATCTCCCCCTGTTGTCCATCGACATAAAATGCAGTGTTCTGGAACATGAGAAAGGCAATACATTTCCTCCAGTTCTTTGTAAGCTGATATGAAGTAGACAGACATCTTCTGAAGTTTTGTGCATGCTGTGCTCTTTTTTTCTTTGCTGCAACAAGAAAAGCCTTTTCTTTTAACCTGGCTTCCTTTGAAGAAGTAACTCAGGAAGCTTCATGGCCTCTCAAGGTAAGTGCATCTATAGTCTGTATTTTTAGATCATGTTTACAGAAAACTACAGTCTTGTACGTTTCCAGCAATCAGCAGTCTGATGAAATGAGAGTTTCAGGCTAAAACCACATCAGCCAAAACACAGTTGTTTTGGCTTCCTTTAATTTTTCAGCATTCAAGAGGCTCCTAAGGAGACTAAAATCTATACTAAAATGTTACTTGAATAAAATATGTTATAAAATGTTAACATCTGCATTCCATCAGAAAATTTAGTGTTTGTCTCTTTGTGTTTAAACCTGTCGGTACAGAATGTGTGGGAAGGGCAGGTACTGAGCCAAGGGTACCACTATTTTTTCACACTTCTTTCCTATTCCACGTCAAAAATATCAAATCTGCAAATGCTTTTCACTTTCAAAACTGGTCAGAGTCCTGATCACCACGTACAGAAAACAAATATCTGAAGAATAACTGAATTTAATCAGATTACTCCTATCTGGGTTCATCTTTGTCACATACTGTCTTATAGCAGCAGCTGGTTGGGTACTCAGGGCTATAGACAAACGTTGTAGCATGCTGATCTCACCAGCCTTCTCAATTAATTTTCTCCATGCTTTCAAATATGTAAAGTAAACAGAAGGACACAAATCTGTTTTTTCTGAACATGAATGCAACTCCAGAGAGGTCACCCTGTTGAGACATACAGAAGCAGATGTTGGCCCAGGGAGTTTCAGCAATGTCTGTTTATGTTTGCCAAATGTTTACACCTCTTTCTTGCCCCCCCAAATACTCAAGGCATTCTGCATTTACAGCACTAAAAGGTATACAGCAGAAAGCAGGTTTTACAGCATTGCTTTACCCTTGCAATATAATTTTTTAAAATTTTGCTTATCTTTAGATGTATAAAAGAGATCTGGTTTTGTATATTTTTAGTGCACAGTAGTTAATAGAAGAAGTTGTGAAATATGGTTTTCATAATGAAGGAACTTGATAATATACTTCTTTTAGGAACAGTTAACTCTACAAATTATATTTGTGCAGAATGCTCACTGTATCATGTGATAACTTTTAAGTTTTCCCATACCATAAATGAAATGGGAAACATTCACAAAAATAGACAAAGTGTCGGAGAAGCTCGGATTGTCATCAATATTTAATGTACTTACTGTTTGATTTTTGTATAGCTTAAAATTTGACAGGTAGAACTGCAATTTGTTGTATTTTTTTCTCTTTATTATTCAAGAATAACACTAACACTCGGCCACTTCATGGCATTTCATGTAACAACAACAGTTATGGCAGTAACAGAACCCTGTGAGGTAAAATGATGCAGAAGAGCATATAAAATATTTATTAGCCAGTTATACATTTTTAAAAGCCAGATACAAATTCAAAGGGGTTGTTACTTCTTCCTGCGGTCTCAGACTTTGAAAGAAAGCAGCGGCTGCAAAGACAAATTAACATCAAAATATGATTAAACAATGAATCAGCCACACTGAGTTTAGATAATGCTAAAGGATCTCATTTAAACCCACAACAGCAAAAGAGAGCTTCAGATTTAGAGTCCAAATTCCTTCTGGACCTCGAACCCCATTGTGCCTGAGCATCATCACAAATGAGATGAAAATGGTCAGTTTGGGGACTGCTTTACCACTGAAGTGCCGGGGCTCAGCTTAATACAAGAATTTTCCATTTATATGCAGAGAGCTTCAGCTCGCTCTTTCTTGTTCTGGCAGAGCCAATGTTACTGAAGGCTGTGGAAAGAAGCTCATAGTAAAATCAGGAGGAGTTTGCTGAGAATCGAATGGCTAAGGTGGTCACTGTACTGGGGGAGACGGTGCCTGTGCACGTGAAGGGCTGTGGGCACACAGGTGCCTCTACCAGTAAATACTCTTGTTACCTTCACGGCACTAGGCAAGGTAACCATCACTGTGTCCAAAAGGATGTGTTAGCAATACCTAACCAGAAAACACAGCTTAACGATATCTGATCTTTTCATTAAGATAATAATGAATACACACTGTAAGGGGCTGTGTAGGCTTTGGTACTAGGGCTGTAACATGTAGCCTGGGGAATCTGAGATCCCTGGAAATGTTATCTCTAATTAAGAGAAAATATGCATGCCCCCAAGATGCTAGAAAACATCTTGCTAGAAGCAAGTCCTCAACAGCTTGGTGTATGTTAGCACACGGGGAGCAGGGCTGAGCAACTTGCGCTGAGGACCTTGTGGCCACCTTGTATGTGAGTCCAGACCAGCCCCAGCCTTCTCGTACAGCCTGACTGCTTGAAAGCTGTCAGAGTGGATTAGGTGCCCTTCAAGACCAAATCTTCTGGTTTAGCTTCATCTACAGTAATTCTACCTGGCATACTCTGAGACTGCTCTATAAAGTGAATCAGAGTGCTTCAAGTGTGGGACCGTCAGGAGATTTGTTTGAGATCCTCACTCCTTATCTGAACTAAAATGATGATATAGTCACAGGCAGAATGTGACATTACTATTCCAGTTTTGATCCAAGCAGCTAGCTGCTGTTTGGTCCTGTTCAATTCTGATTTTTGTTTTTCTCCTTTTCCCACAGAATCTCAGAGACAAACTAACTCAATCTTTAAGGATTACCTCCCTGGTTCTTCTGACCTTCCTGAACAGAATAAGCCTATTGAACCAACAAGTCTCTGGAAGCAAACATCACATACTCATAACATGCCACCTGGTCTGGAGTACCTGAACCAGGTCCTGAATCTTTCCAAATATTATAATTGTTTTGTTTTCCTTGTAGACTTCTTTCATACCTTAAGGGATGGGGTTGGTTGCTGTTTTGGGTTTTTTTTTTCCCTTGGGGGAGACAAGGATGGAGATGGAGAGGCTTTTTTGTTGTTTGCCATTACTATGAAATAAGGAACGTGGGAACAACAAGCCCTTCCTTCATTGCTGCCATTCATTTTTATAGAAATCCATTTGTTGTGCATGCAGCTCTCCTTGCACCAAAACCGTGTTTTTCTTCCCTCTAGAACTTTTTCTAGGCCATAGTATTACTTCTCTCATTGTCACCCCGATTTCCTTCCAGTTCCTTAAGAGGTTACCCTCAGGGAAATGGCTATCAAACTCCATCTGGCCTCAAAAAGACTCAAACAGGCAGTGTGTGAAGGAATTGTCACCTCCTTATAACCTATCCTTTGAGGAACACAAAATTCTTCTAAGAAAACTCTTGCCAATGACAGTGTTCTTCAGGTTAGAGGCAAGGTCCTGGGGAAGCAAGATCCCAAGGAGACAATTTTGTGAGCTTAAGTCTGGTTAGCTACAAACCTGCCCCCACTCTGTGTTCAGTTGTGGGGCAGGAAAGTACTAGTGCCCGAGAGAGGGAAATGCCTGGAAATGGAAACAGAAAAGTATGTCACAGGCAGGGGAGGGACAGGCAATGCTGGAGTCTTCTCCTTCCTACTGCTAAATGTACAGCTGTCCATCTTCCTCTGTGAAACCTCTCCGCTCCTGGAGCTCAGACCAGTGATGGTCTGCAGGTCTGCTCCAGAAGTTTCATCTCTTCCTGCATGTTTTTACTGGGAGGGTTATTCCTTGCTATTGTTTTGACATTGACTCCAGTTTACATTTCCCATGTGGCTGGATTCTGCCACTCTTATATATGCTGAGTAACACGTCATACACCCTTCTGGTATGGGCAAGAACAGAATCAGGCCCCCAGTGCAGTCAGGTTGTAATTCTGACACACATTCTTCTGCTGTGTTTGTGTTTTGGTGGTGCTGGGAAATGTTTATTTCACTGAGGGGCTGTATTTTAGATATACATATCTGGTAGTTTTTTACAGAAGCAGAAACTGAATATATTTTATTTTTGGACATAAGTTACCTAGCTAGTTAATGACACTGGGAGATCCTTCAGTAGCAATCTTTCACGTGGAGTTATGATTTTCATTTCATAGTGCCCATGCACAAAATGATATGTGTTGTCAATTACATGAGCATTTGCTCACAGACTGTGGGAGCTACATTTTTTAGCCTAAAAGTGATTATGATAGTAAATACTTGGCAGGTTACATATTCAGTCTCCTGTATGAACATGAATTATACCTCAGATTTACCAATACAATGTGGGCAAGAAAAATTCTATTACTCCATTTTATAGAAGCTTTACATCTGACATAAAGACAAAAGAGCAAGTCGCTGTCAGAAGTATAACTAGAACTCAAGACCTCATTCATGCTTGCTCTTGGCCCAGTAATCATGTGTCTGTGCTGCAGCCCTCGCTAATTGTTCTCAATTTTCTCTGCAGTCTGAAAGTGGAAAGCATCTATGCAATGCTGATTATTGACATATACACACAGCTAGAGCTTCTGTGCATTGCAGAACATTTTGGTGTGTGATGCTGAAGTCATACTGGCTGTGTGACTAGTGAAACAAGTCATACAGGATAGATTGGAGCAGAAAGGAGATATGACCAGCAGGGAGAGGGCTGCCTGCAGAATGAATGTGGGATGGATCCCTTGGGATTTATCCTGATGGACTAAGAGATTTTCATGTAATGAAATTCTCAAATGAATGAAGGTATTTCTAGCAGAACTGGGAATTTTTGATGCCATTGGGAACACTGGAATATTGTGTATCCTTCTGGTTGTGTGTGTATTGGGGAAAAGTGGGTCCAAACTGAAACAGGGACAGACAGGTACTACTGGAAGGACATGGAGAATAGAGAACCTGCTTATAAATAAGACCGCAATTGTTTAATCTTTAGACTAAAAAAACACTACCAGAGAGGGAACCATGACAGAGTACCTGGAAGAGTAAACAAACTGAGGGAAAAAGAGACATTTATTTTATAGAATGATATTACCAGGAGAAAGATTGGATAGAAAGTGATTGTGAATAACTACAGGATAAAAAATAGAAATGAGGTTCTGGGATTATCTCCAGCAGGAGCAGGAAAGATAGGTGGATAGATTTGAGAAAACAGAATATATTTCTTAATAAGACCATGACATGTTTGACTACGAAACCAGGAACCAAATTTAGTGAATCTCAGAGATCCCTACAGTCTTACTCTAAACAGCAACTCAAGGACACAGCATATAGTGTGGATGAGAGGAAACAAAAATATCTCTCCTGTACGTTACAGACAGACAGCTATATTTCACGCTGCAAATACACATGCGGAGTCAGTCAGGCTGAGGAGTGATTCACTTGGCTGTTCAAGGTGCACGGGAGAAGGGCAATAAGCAGCTTCTGACTTGGCGAACAGATACCAAAAGTTCCCCAAACCTCATTATTATCTTCCAGGTCACACCCATAGTTCAAGGAATTGTCCAGCATCCATCACAAAAATCAAGGGAAATTTTTCCCATAGCAGGAATAGACAGATGAGACCTTGGAGAATTTTTCAAGTAGCTCAACAACATGTTATTCCACCATTCAGGCTGAATCAATTTTGTAAAAAGCTGCTTAGTTTAGATTTGGTTAGACTGATCAGTTGTAAATTTAATGCCCACAGACTGAATACTGGGAATTAGCTGTGTATAAGGAGTTTTAACATATCTGAGCTCCAGAGGACTCAGACCTTTGTAAACCAAAGGGCTTTAGATGTTTTCAAAATGCAAGTGCAGAATTCCATTAATCTACAAATGCCCCAATAAAAGATGCATCAGAATAATTGCCTTGCAGAAACCAGTGAAAGGCAAAACAAGTCTAACAAATGGTACTGTCACAATGTCTTCACATAGTTTATACCTTGTTCGCAATAAACCTATAAACAGACCAAAATCACTCAAAGCTTTTAACAGTTCAGGTTCAAAAATTTTATTTTTCTTGTGAAATTCTGTGTGGGGCAAAGAAATCCATATTAAAATCAATGCTTATATATTAAAATAGCCCTACCATCTTTAACTTGTTTATTCTTTTTTCATCAGCAGAGCACTTCCCATGGGCTCCAAGAGTTCACATCTCTTGTGAAACCTAAACCATGAACAGCAAAGATTCTTGGGGGAAAATTTTTAAGTCCAAATATTTTTTATTATTTCAATTACTGGCATGCACATTTCAGAGATTAATGAAAGGGATGAAGTTTCTCTTTACTAGCTTTTCTTTGCAGCCTGAACTAGCTGCAGGACATGACTAGAACTGACAAATGGCTGCAACAGTTTGAATACGTACCAGGCACAATTTATCAATTGTAAAATATACAGATGCTGGAGAGCTGTGACATGTTGGTCTCAGAACATCGCTGTGTGCTTTCTGTCTGCAGCTGTGAGTAATGGCAAAATCCTGTGCCAAGCATTTGCCCATCAGGAATTTAAGGATAAGAGATTAGTAAAGCCTAAACTATCACATAAAAAAGGCATAAAAAGTCACATAAAACTGAAAGGTAGACTGAAATTAAGTCTTGCTGGTTTTATAATACTAATGACTGTTCTCTAAAAAAGAATAATATCGGAGGTATGATCAGCACAGCAAAGCTGGCTATCATGGCAAGCAGTTTTTCTCCTGCATTTGTAACCAGCTCACAGGGGAAGACAGTTTCAGCCAGCCAAGGTTTTCTCTGGGGAGCTGCTGTTTTGCTCATTCTGGCACCCTGGCTGACCGTTTGCCAGATTTGGGGTGCAGAACTCCCAGTGCCTGAGATCACAGTTAAATCGTTGGCATCACCCCATTGCCTTGCTGGGTTGCTCTAGCAGGGCCTTTTGGGTTGTAGCTACAGCATGTTTAAAGCTTGAGCCTGAATTTATTCACTCCTGCACTGCCGTGGTGCCCAGCTCTTACCTTAGCTTTGGGGTAAGGGGCTTCCCCTCTGCCAAGACCAGGAGGGACAGCAGGAGTGAAAAGTGGGTCCTGCTTCTCACAGACATCTTTCCACTGCTGTTGTCTTCCTTGTTCCCCCAGTGAAGATAATTTTTCTTCAAATGTGTGCGTGAATTACATGACCACAGGATACAATGTCACACTCTTCAGCCATCATTTCAGAGAGATGTCTAAAGTGTGACTTGAGATAGCCCTCAGGCACTCAGCTTGTGCACCTCTGGATAATAACAGGGAGAGGAGCAATAAAAATAGACAGGTCATCACTGACATTTCCAACACCCACCATCTTGGTTTTTTTTTTTTAAACAGTTGGACCAGATAATTATTCATCAGCAAGTAGAGCTTCTTGAAGGTATGGTGCAATCCTCATTGTTCTTTAACAGTGCTTGTACACAGATGTTTCCGAATGGCTTCCAAGTCTTGCCCCCACCTTGTTGAAGTCATTGCGAAGCCTCCAGCTCACCTTGCTTCAGGCTTGTACTGTGGTGCGCCTGTTCTGCATCAAACCAATTAGGAGAGAAAGATTGCAGCAAGTAATTTCTACACTAGTCCTACATTCAATTCCTCAGACACCTCCCTCTCAAAGTTATTAAAGCTTAACCACTTTCCAATCCATGGAAATGCTACAAGAAACAAAGCCAAAAAAGAAAGGTCAGAAGACATAAAATGAAGAATAAGATAATTTATGTCGTTCCTCAGAATGTCAAAGTACTGAACAAGTATTGAGTTCTGAAAGTAAAATATTTTTAAAATGTATTTCTCCCATTCAAAATGTTTTTGGCCTGATTCTTGAATACCTCGCTGGGTGAAAGTTTGTCAGTCAAGTGGGACAGCCTTGTATTGTAACTTCACAGATGTTAAATTAAGAAAAAGCACAAGCCAAAACTCAGAATCTGAATTCTGTTTTGTGATAGGTACTTTAGTATACAGCAAATCAAAGTCTTTGTACTAAACCTTCTTTCAAAATACAGACCTGACATTATTATTATTATTATTTACTTATAACTGTGTATTTTCTTTGTGTCATAATTTCAAAGCAATGTTTTAAACAGTTTCTGTTCATTAGATTTTTTTTTTTAGAATATATGCTAGTATATATATGTACACTAACATTATACTAAGGTAATGTTCTACTTGATTTGCTTTATTAGCCATTCTTGGCACAGAGACCTCCAGCAAATATGAGATAAAAAACCGTTTGGGACAAAGAGTTTACTTTGCAGTAGAAGAAAATGATTGCTTTGATCGTAACTTGTGTTCGCCTATAAGGTCTTTCACCATAAGGATCGCAGATAACACAGGCCGAGAAGTGATTAGAGTGAAGAGACCCCTGAGATGCAACAGCTGCTGGTTCCCCTGCTTCCTGCAAGAGGTGAGTGAATCCTAATTGCCTTTTGTCCCAGCATCTCACTGTATGTGCACAGCATTAATGAAGCCTCCCTCAACTTCTGTGAGGATGGCAGGAAGGAATTCACACCCACCTCTCCGTCCTGGGGGTCTGCTCGGAGACCTTAATTTAGGAGTAACTGGTGATAAACGGGGCCCTTTTGTGAGTCACATTCCCAGCACCCCTCCTCCCTTTCATGGGACCAGTTCCTGACATCCCAAATAAAGCTCTTGTGTCTGATGATACAGGTGTCTGTTCAGTCAGGTAACACCCCAAAACACCACGTGCCCTGCCACAGACTAAGGTCCGTTAGTGCCACAGGAGGAAGTCACCCACTGTCCTTCCAGAGTGCGAAGGACAGAAAATCCCTGGAGGCCGTTTGTGTGTGCGGGAATGACTGGGAGGCCGCTGCCTTGCTCCATGGCTCTGCTTCCTGAAGGCCACATATCTTTTGGAAACTGAAGAACTTGGAAATAAGCTGCTTTAAGTGAAAAATGCAAATCCTGTAGAGTATCAGATCTCCTCTTTTTTTTTTTTTTTTTTTTTTTTTGTTTTTTAAGTGTTTTATAGGTTAACTCATCTACCTACCTTCTTGTACTGCATTGTAATTTTTAAAAAACGGTCCTTCGGTGGCACAGCTGCTACATAAAAATGCTTATAGCATGCTCACTGATGACAATAACAAATGCTTCTCACAGCATATGGCTTTTATCAAATCCTATGTGTAAGATGTTAGCTTCTGGTGCAGCTTTTGAGCTTCATATTGTCCACTGTATTTAAAAACACCACTAGTCTGTCTTGTAATGTCCATTTCACAGTTTGGTAAAATTATATATAATTATATTCAGTAAGTAAATATTTTGCCATTATATAAACAATATGCTATTATGGACAAATATACTAATGTAAAATTAGTTTACAAGATTTTTTGTTTTCTTTTGTTTGCTAGTTAGAAGTTCAGTCCCCACCAGGTACAGTAGCTGGGTATGTTGTACAGAACTGGGACCCTTTTCTGCCGAAGTTTACTATACAAAATGAAAGTAAAGAAGATGTATTAAAAATAGTTGGCCCGTGTGCAACTTGTGGCTGTTTTGACGATGTTGACTTTGAGGTATGTTTCTTATGAGTGTTAAGAATTTTAAAGTTTTACTACCTTGAATAAATTTCTCACTCAAAAATCCTGTTATTCTACCTTTAAAAATATTATGTACATTGCTGTAATTATAGAAGTACAGCAATGTGCATTGGAGTTCCTGACTCGTACACTCAGATTCCTACAGATGGACAAGAGTGGCAGTTCCTTCAAGGAAATAAACATGTCGCTAAGTGAAATCCTGGTCCTCTGCAGTCCATGACTTCTCAGCCATTGATTTTTACAGGCTCAAGTTTTCATGCATTCACTGTTATCTGACATACAGTCCCTTGAAGCCTGTGGCATTGAACATGCTGCCTTCATTACTCTCAGACTGAGAACCATGGGCAGGATTACTGTCCAATATGTCTACATCCATTTGACAGCATTAATCAGCAGAAAAATAATTCCGAGGAGCCATTGAGATATTTAAGGGATGAGATGGAGAATGAGAGATGCTGGAAGAAACCCTAGACAGAGTATTCTGATGTGAACAAAGCACTTTGCATTAGTCAAGTAATCCTAAAAGAGCTGCGGTGTTGAACAACTCGTTAGCTAAATCAGAATACGTCAGTGGGTACTGTCTGAAATTTCAGTATACCTGAGAAACATGCAGATGGCTACATAACTGAGAACATATCTGTCAGTTGTAGGGGATGGTGGTCCACAGCAGTGGTACTGCTGTGACTTGGAGAATATCAGAAACACAAGACAGGAAAAAGAATTGTTGTAAAAAAGAGCAAAAATGTTAAAAACTTTCACAATTGCTTTCCTCCACTTTTCTGTCAGCTCTAAAGATGCTGATGTTTCCAAACTTGAAGACCCTTTCTTGTGTGCCACTCCTAAAGGCAAATCTGACACTAATAGAGCATCTCAGTGATAACAAGAAAAGAACCACCTGACAGCTATAGCATACTCTGTGTGTCAGGGCACAGTCATTAATTCTGTGGAGATATAATCAGCATGTACCTGATTTGTTTACATTTAAGTGTATTCCTATTTTTCATTTGTGCAGGTAAAATCTCTCAATGAGATGTCAACGATTGGCAAAATTTCCAAGTACTGGTCTGGATTTGTAAACAATGTCTTTACCAACACTGCCAACTTCGGGATCCAGGTCCCTGTAGACCTTGATGTGAGAATCAAGGCAGTAATGATTGGTGCTTGTTTCCTCATTGTAAGTATGCAAAACTTACAAAGTTTTGCAAAGCAAACAAACAAAGAGGTAGACCTATAGAGGTGGGCAGACTGGGACCAAAGTGACCTTTGCTATCAGCAAAAAATCCTACGAAGGCATAAGTGCAGTGGAAAGCCAAAGCACTACCTGAAAGATAAATTAACTGAAAACCTTTCAATTTTTATGGCTGCTTTTGTTTTTTCTTATTTGCTGAAGGTCTTTTTCTTATTTGCTGAACGTCCTAAATTTTTGTTTATTAAACTGTTTAAATAATATTCCACATATAGTTCAATATCTTGCATGGCAGGATCAAATATCAACACACATGTCAAACGTATCAAACACCCGCACCCCCTTACCTGTTGTATTTGAATGGGTGTATGAAACAGAACAAAAGTTATGTTATTTATAATGGTAATTTCAAATTGTGAGTGCCACTTCAATAGTTATGTTGTCTTGCGTGTAAGATGGTCTGGTCATATGAAATTTCCTACAAAAATTGCCTTGTGAAGATAATAGTAAGAATTATATGAAAAGGAGAATACTCACCACTATGGGTAAGGATGAAGTTAAGATGCACTTTTCCTAGAATTACAAATCGATTTTTGCTGTGTACCTCTTTTGCCAACATTAATGTGTTAATATCAACATGAAAATTTCAAAATCATCTGTGATACATCAGAGAGTATAAAACAGAAGGACAAAACTATTTAAATTATTCACTGGAAAGCATTTGCTTATAAAATAGCAACAAGTTCAGAAATTTTGCTTTTCTTAGGGTAGAAACGTATCTCTTGTGGCACTTAGTATTTTTGGATTGTCCTCCAAAACTCCTGATGCTCAGTGGCAGAGTAATAGAAAATGATTGACTAACCTAATTATATAACAAAAGCCTACAAGTAAGACTTTTGATGGTAATCATTTCATTTTTGTACCTTCCATATTATTCACAGTTTGTTTATTTGTAGGACTTAATGTTCTTTGAAAACTCTTTGGATGGATTATAACAAGATGACAGAAATAATAAAATATGCAGAATGTGTTTCAGTAAGTAAAAATGAACATAAATTGATCTTCTTGCTTTGAAGACTAATACATTAGATACTTTCTAATTCTTTTTCATTTTCTTCCAGAAATCCCTCGAGCTTTGGACATGGTTTTGAACTGCACAAATCCTTGTTCCTTATAGGAAAGGATAGGGAGTTAATGATGTTGTTTATTAATGTATGTCTCATGTAAATAACAATTTCCCACTTACATTTTATGTGCATTGTAGCTAAACACATACTTTTCACCCAGAGCGCTGTTGCTTTGGAACAGTGCTATTCTCTTCTTTCTCTTTTGATGTTCCTGCATGGGAAATCATGAAAGATTAGATGAAGGCTTGCAGCGTCACTGATGAAAGTCTATGTTTAGAGAAGCCTTTGATGTTTTGCAAGTGCTGGTACCAGTTACTAACCACATGAGGGTGTGTTCTGGGGATTTTGCTTTTTCATAATTTTCGAAGTAATTTCCTGATTTGTTATTTAATTAATAGCAACAAACTGAGATTGAAAGCAACAAATATAAGACATCACCCGATGGGAAGTTCAAGACGTTATCTGTTTCAGTGAGTTGAAAGAAGGGAAGTTATGTTTGCTAGTAAATTAATTTTATGCCAAAGATTTGTTTAATGAGTGACAGCCGAGAAATTAGGCTTCTAGTACTAGACTGGAGAACATAAGCTCTATTTGGAAAAGCTGGTCTTTCACTATTTTTAATGGAGACAGGCCATAAGGTTTGAGAGGTGGTGCACAAATCACTTCAAACTATCCTGTGTTAAGGATTCTTGCTCCTATCCACTCAAGACTTTCCTTAGAAGGTTGTTCCTCTTTATAATATCTGGTGCTTGATAACTTTTCATTCAGACTTGCCTGAGGCCATCCTAGAACAGAATATATTATTTTCCTTTGGCAAGCTCAGGTATTTTCTATGATAGGACAATAGGAGATTTTTCCATTTCAGTATCAGTTTTACATCGTTGTTAATTCTTGCATCACACCCGATCATAGAATAGACTCATAGAATGGTTTGGGTTGGAAGGGACCTTAAAAGTAATCTAGTTTCAACCCAGCTGCCATGGGCAAGGACACCTTCCTCTAGACCAGGTTGCTCAAAGCCACATTATACTGTTCCCAAACATTCTCATTAACAGGCTTTTACTAATACAATCTTCCTTTGTAGGAACATCCATGACATATATATATGCAAGACATGAACAGAAAAACTTCTGTTTCAAAATATTTGGTGTATGTACTTGCTTGTGCCTCTCTCAAAAACTCCAGTGAGTCCTTCAAAAAGCAATCCAGTACTATAGAATATTAGTGGTAAAAACAAATGCTATCATAGTCTCTGATTGAGTTTCCAAAGGGAACATTTTGCAAATCACTGGAAATGCTGGATTTTTTTTTAGCATGAACTAGTAATTCAATTCTTGCAAACAACCAACACATCAACGGAAAGGAGAGGAGATAATGAATAATTCATAAAAATGAAAAAGAGCTAAATTTATCAGGTGATTAATTCTCAACAAATATTTAGACTAATTTTAAATTAATGTTCATGGATATGAATTCAAACACAGTGAAGTCAGGAAGTTGCAACTAATGTTCCCATAGTGAAATTAACTCAGGAATGCGTATAGATTTAAACAGTATGTTTTAGATTATATACCACACTTAGGTATTTATACAGATTTACATATGTCTTGAAAATAATTGTGGTTAACAAGCTCTGACAATCATCATTATCTGTTAACCATTTCCTTGCTGGATCTCGCTGTGATTCTTAGCAGTGCAATCAGGCTGCAATCTGCAGAAGTTAGGAACTCAGAGGGAACCTTTGCTGTCACTTTTCCCAGCAGGAAGCACCCGGTGAGCTTCGTGGGCAAGACGCTCCCTCGTGTGGACATTTGTAGTTTTGCAGAAGAATACAGGTGACGCCAATTTGCTCTTCTCACTAGTTTCACACTGGTGTCATTCTGTTAAATTCAATCCTTTCACTCCTGACTAATGCAGACTGAGAAAAAGAGACAGTTTTTTATATTAATTTTTCTCTTTAAATCCCTTTTCCATCTTGGACAGAAGTGACTATTATTGTAGCCTGCAGTCTTGGGTCTCATGAAAACCCATGTTCTTGCACTGTTGTTGAGTTGTGTGTGTCTGAACACTCAGTTGAACGCAGAACCCCGTGAGATCAGCAGGCTCCCCTGCTATCTGCCACACTTCTTCAGTTTCCAGCCTTATGACCCTTGACAAGCCAAAGACGTCTTTGAAGCAAATGTGTCCAAGCACCATTGAAGTCAATCCAAAATAGGGGTTTATTTACCAGCAGGGCTGAAATATATACCACATATATACCTTGTAGGTAAGCAATACATGCATTTATTTTTTATATATTGCAACCAGTTGATAGTACTGTATTTCTTGCACTTAGTGATTGTTGCTCTTTTGTGCGTTAGTACAGCTTTTGTGGGTTTTTTGTTGTTGTTGTTGTCATTGTTTTGGTTGGTTGGTTGGTTGGGGTTTTTTTTAAAGTGTAATGCTTGAATATGTGTATAAGTATGTTTGAATGCTTCTATTTACACCCGGAGGCAACTTCTGGGACATACAAGACCAGGTTGTCCCTGGATAAAACAAAGCACTGGGTCTGGGATAGCTCTTGCTGGTTAGAACTTCCTCAGCAGCCTGCTTGACCTTGGTTCCATCCTTCAACATCCTGATAGAAATTCAGTGCCAATGCCAGTGTTTTTTCAACTGGAATCTCGTTCATCTAAACCACAGCTGCTATATGAGGGCAGGTTATTCATACTCAGCAAAGATGATGGAGTTCTGTGTGATATTACTAAAGAAAAGCTAATGTGTACTAAGATTTTTAAAACCTGCAGCTCTAACTAGGAACTCTTTCTTATTAATACCAATGTGTTTCATCATTATGGAAGCTATGTATACTCTTTACTAATCTCACCTTTCATGATTCCCCCACAGGTTAGGAGTGGCTCTCCAAAGGAGAATTCAGTATTTTCCAAAGGGGGACAGATATTCTCTAAAGTGAATTCATGTCTGGAACATCTTGTAGAAATAAACATGATTGTTCTAATGAAACAGACATTTTACTTAGTTCAGCCAAGCAAATAGTTTCACACGATCACTACCGAAATTGTAAATCTATGTAGTACATAATTCTTGTGTTCAGTAGATGGCAGCAACTGTTCATTATTACAATGTTTAGCTTTCCACAGATCACAAGCTGTACCCAGGACACTGATTGAAGATCAAGACACCTTTAATTGATTTCTACCCTTAACTGGAGGACTTTATTTGTCTGATATTAAACCTTTGTCACACGATGCTGGTTATCTTTATTGCCTGCAATTTACGGCTGAATTATGGGTGATTGATATTTTATGAGATCTGGTAGATGCATGGGCAGAATCCAGTCTACCACAAAGTGAGCTCTTCTGGTCAGCCCAAAACCTGTTTTTTGCAGCTGAAGCATCTCTCCAACTTCCACAGGTGGACAGAGGAGAAGCCCCAGCCCCAGGACATTCCCCACCTTCTGCAGAAAGTGCTGTGTCTAAAGGAGATTGCTTTGTTGAAGCTTTCTATTGGTAAAATAACTTTGCCCATATGTTATGTCATCACAGTCCATCACTATGTGGTGTCCTCAGGCAGAGGGATGGAAACCCCTTGTAGTGCCAGAACCCCAGATGATACCAGTATGTGGGAAGGAGCTGGTTTGTCCATGGGAAAATCAGCCATTTTTTGTAAGATAGTGGCAACACAGCAGCTCTGTAAGGTAGAGATTTTTTTGTTATTTAGTAATATGGTGGATAAAGAAATACTATTTTTTTTAAGATTAGACAAGCCTACAAATGATCCAAAATACACATTTTCTAATGGAGTCATCTAAGTGGTACCTGTTTGAAAAAAAAAAAAAAAAAATCATGCAGTTTCCTCCCTCTGACTCTCTTCTTAGTGGTATTGATTTCTTTTCAATTAGAATGATATGTTCTATGTTCAATGATACATACTTGTTTAATTCACAGATCTTTAGATTTTTAAATGTACTTTTTTTCTTCCCTAAAAATGATACCCTTAGGAGGAAAAAAAGACTTTAGTTCCTTAGAAAAAAATTAGCCCATATCCTGTGAAAGGAGATTTTTTTTTTTTTTCTGGAGTTCTAGATGTTTTTCTAAACTTGATCCATCTTAGGAACAGCTTCCTTGATGCCACATCATTACTGAAGTACTCTTATTAGCACCTGGCATGAGACAACAGTTTATTAATGATTTGTCAGCATTTTATTACTTCACTCCTCTAAAATTGAAAATAACAAAACAGTTTTTAAGTGACTAATACCTACTTTTGGAGTGAGACAGCCCAGGCCAGATACAACTTTATGGTTTCATTCCATATTTATTAGTATCATGCTTACAAAAGCACAATAACGTTTTACAAAAGAAAGGTCAGAAGGACAGAGACTAATGGGTGCCCAGTGGCTGTGCCACCAAGGTATGTTCATTCTTTTACCCCAAATGACAGTGAATTCCTGCCGCTGTGAAAGGGAGACCTGCAGGTTACCTCAAAGTGTTGTATATCTCCTATAATGCCATTGAAAATTAATCTCAATTCACAGTTAGGTCTTATTCCCCAGTCTCTCTTTGCAAAAACAATGCAGGATTTCTCACCCTTATTCTCGCTTTCATTTTCTTATGTCAAAGGAGTATAAACATAGTTATTACAACATTGCTGTAGGAGTTAGAGCCCTGACCTCATCTGCCATGATATCCAGCAGAGCTACCTGAAAGCTACAGATTTCATATTAAATCTCCTGTATTAATGTACACAGGACTATTCAATCCATGAGCCTCAAGTCCCACTGATTATTGAAAAGGCAGACAGTGAAGTTCATGTCGGAGGGGCTGCGTTTCCAGTGTGGACTCCTGGGGTCAGCTACGAAGGCATGCAGCACTGGTACCTGTACAGCTAGTTTGTCAGTCTTGGTTTTGAAATATGTTTACTATTGCATGGATTAAATCTATCACCTCCATTTTTTATTCTCATTCATGAAGAAGAAATAAGTGAGGCAATCTGACATAGACCCAAGTTCAGTGCTTTCACAGGATGCAGGTTCAGTTCTCTGTATTTCTTATTACATGGGCTCAGACACAGAATAAGTCCTAAAATCTGGATATTGGCAAGCAGGTAAGCATGGAGACTGCTCATATTCTTATAGCTAGGTGAGCATTTTGTGTGCTCTTACTTCTAAAGAACCCAGCACCTCAAAGGTTTAATCCTCGAATAACCATGTAATGAAAAATGTTGATGAAACTCCTGAGTTCTCACATAAAATCCCAGTCGAGACAAAAGTCCCCACTCGAGTCACCTCATTAATTCTGCTGCTTGTTTATCTAAAGTAGGAGTAATTTCCAGTAAATGTTAACGGATTAGGTTTATTGTGCAATAAAATAAAACAGTACTATGAAAAAGTGCAGGGTAGGACGAAGTGCAGAGAGCCACAAGGCAGCACCATGAGAGCCTTGCAGCCACCCTAGGACTGGGGCGTCCTCTCCTCCATCCTTACAGGGAAGTTGCACTTCGGGTACATGAGGCTCGAAAATAGGGAAGCACACACCACACATTTTCCATCTTTAAGTTTCTATAGGAGAGTCATAGTAAGTCTAACAATGTTTTTATTCTGGCAGCTGTGTGAGTATTGAAGGAAAAACTTCCTGCAAGTCATTTCAACAGGACTTGTTAGCTCAATGTGTTCTTCTACTTTAAGATATTAATTTGAAGGACTTCCTTTGCTCCATGCCAGGCACATCAGGTAAGTGCTCTATTTACATTAGTGATGTTCTATATTTAAAAAAACCCAAACAATACAGCAACAGACTCATAAAAACCCCACAGGCACTGCTCTATTGAGAAATACTGTTTCTATCTAGAAATGACCCTGGACATATTCTTTCTTTTTTTGGTTAGTGTTTTTTTTTCTGGATTGTTTAGTTGTGTTTTTTTTTTTTTTTCAGATGAACACATTTAGAGAAAGAAAATGTCACATGCATGTGTCAAGGTCCAGTGTTGCTTCATAAGTCTTGCCCTAGTCGTTTATGGATTGCTCGCAGAAGCTTGGGGAATTTTTGGACTAGGCTACTGACTGTATTAGTTTTCTATCCATATGGTTTTTTTCTGGACTCTTGAAGAATTGTATTTTGCCATCAGTAATCATTCTGGGGAGCTGTCATGATAACGCCCCTATATACCAACCACGACTGAAATAAGAAATACAGCCTGGATTAAAATAAGGATCGCTACTAGAAATATCTCATACGCTTCACAATTTTCTAGAACTCAAATTAAGGTTTTGAGCATTTTTGTAATTCCTTCTGGGTTTCATGAAGAACCCAAATTGTGAAAATACTATTTTATTTTAAAAAGAAAAATCCTATTTGCTTTGTAAATCCAGGGGAGATATTTTGGCTACTATACAAGATAGTTTGCTGATTGTTATAGGATAGGAATGAAAAAGTGGGGGATTTTTTAATTATTTATTTTAGCTTCTATCTCTGGTTTCATACAGTTGTAGATTAGGGCTTAGAGCACCTGGGAACTACGTAAGAGCCACAAGTAATGCTTTCTCTAACCTTCAGCATTGCCCAGCACTAGGGCAAGCAACACCACACTTGGAACCTTGTTTCCCTTGAAAATAAGACTAAGGTGTCCTGATTTAGCCTCAGCTGGCAACTAAGACCCACAGAGCCTCTTGCTTACTCTCTCCTGGTGCAATGGAGGGGAGAATCAGAAGGGGAAAAGTGAGAAAAATTGTGGGTTGAAAGAAAGACAGTTTAATAGGTAATATAAATGTCATGTACACAAGCAAAGCAAGGAATTAATTCACCACTTCACATCACAGGCAGGTGCTCAGCCATCTCTAGGACAGCTGGGCTCCATCCCATGTAATGCCATCACTCTAAACATCCCCCTCTTCCTCCTCCTTCCCCCAGCTATCTATGCTGAGCACGATGCCACATGGTCGGGATGTCCCTGGGGTCAGTTGGGGTCAGCTGTCCTGGCTGTGCCCCCTCCCAACTGTTTGTGCACCCCCAGCCTCCTCGCTGGTGGGGTGAGGAGCAGAAAAGGCCTTGACTCTGTGTAAGCCCTGCTCAGCATTGACTAAAAGATTCCTGTGGAATCAACACTGTTCCCAGCACAAATCCAAAACACAGCCCCACACTAGCTACTATTGAAGAGAATTAACTCTACCCCAGCCAAAACCAGCACATAAAGTTAGACAAATCCTTACTGTTGGCAATTCAAGGGAATTTTTAAAATGTCAGTATTTAAATCAGGAACTAGATGTACATTTTAAACTCCTTGGAGTTTGAAACAGTTTTGATTCGATAAACATTTGATTGTGAAACATTTTCACTTAACTGAATCTACCATATGAGAGCAGAATCACTCCAATACTCTGAAAATGCAACAGTTCAGATAAAACCAACAAATTTAGTGGAAGCCAGGACAAGCAGGTTATTACTTAAATTAACAATTTAGTAAATAAATGAATTAGATCGTTCCCTATTAGGAACAGTTTTATCTCTGCCATTACTGCTGCAGACTATCAAAAGCCTGATATAAAATGGTGCTATCTAATATTAACTCACAGAAAGTGAAAACCCAACAAAAATTAGTGGAGTACAGTGTATTTCATCCTTCTTGATGCAGTGCTATATCTATTGTCCCAGCAAAGTCAAAACAGTCCCACAGTTTGATTCCTTTCCTTTCCTAATGGAGCTTAATAGATAATTAAAGAGATTTTTTTCCTTTCGATGATCTGCCAGATGTGTCATTATTGATGTCCTTCATCCACCTGGATGCTCATAATATGATATTCATGGTTGTGATACTAGACCAGTGCGCTCACATTGTTAAAAACATGTGCAATGTGAAGTGGTACAATGCTTGCCACTGAGGAAAGCTTGAACGGCTGCGTTTGCTTCTTGCTTTGCTGAATAACTGCAAACAGCACATAAGGAAATAACATGAAAGTTTCAGGGTAATAAGATAAGGACAAGAGACACAAAAGCTTGGGAGGACTGTAGAGACAGTGTGGACAGAAAGGGTGTGTCTTTGGGAAAGGTTTTGTTCAGTAAAAGCAGAGAAACAGACTGATCCGGTGACGTCAAACGTGCCAGCAAGTGTGACACCTAGATAAAGAGCGTGTATGCAGTCCATAAAAACTTCCGTAAGCTAAAGCTGTTTGCTTTTAGCTGCAGTGGTTGGAACTGATAGGACTAGGAATTTTGTTCTCATTTTTATTTTTTTAACTGAAAAACTTATTTCCTCCAATGGGTATATGCATGTGACTTCTGTACACACACCAGCTGGGAGACTGTTGTAAAGAGGTGTGGTTATATGGCTGGGGGCAGGAAAAAAAGTGTATGGGCTTGACTTCAGACTAACCTGTTTTTATAAGCAGTCTCATAAAATGATTTGTCTCAACTCTTTTGGCCTTTTGCTCAGTCCTCTCTTGGCAGTATTGGGTTTGACACATTTCAGGGAACGTGATGTTTTAGTTGAACTGTCACCGCCCTGGGTGAGGCCATTGGCCCCGATGTCAGGAAAAGGTTGAATGGTTGTGGAGCTTGGGCAGAGGAAGAATCTGACTGAGAAAAATCCTTGCAAAACGGCAGGGTAACCTGTGCTGAAGGAAAGAGTGAAGGTATTGTGGGAACAAAATGAGCAGGAGACAGAGGAGGACACAAGGAGAACAACGTATTTTTATCAAAAGTAAATGCTTTCAACTAGCTGTGAAGTCTAATATGGTTTTTACAAAAATGTGATCAGTTGAA